TGTGTGAAAAGCTTCTGTGTGTAAAAAGCGTCTGTGTGTAAAAAGCGTCTGTGTGTAAAAAGCGTCTGTGTGTAAAAGCGTCTGTGTGTAAAAGCGTCTGTGTGTAAAAGCTTCTGTGTGTAAAAGCGTCTGTGTGTGTAAAAGTCTCTGTGTGTAAAAGCGTCTGTGTAAAAGCGTCTGTGTGTAAAAGCAAAGCGTCTGTGTGTCAAAGCGTCTGTCTGTAACAGTCTCTGCGTGTGAAAGTGTTTGTGTAAAAGCGTGTGTGTAAAAGCGTCTGTGTGTGTAAAAGTCTCTGTGTGTAAAAGCGTCTGTGTGTAAAAGTCTCTGCGGCTAAAACCCTTTGTGTGTAAAAGTCTCTGTGTGTAAAAGAGCCTGTGTGTAAAAAGCGTCTGTGTGTAAAAGCGTCTGTGTGTAAAAGCGTCTGTGTGTAAAAGGGTCTGTGTGTAAAAGCGTCTGTGTGTAAAAGCTTCTGTGTGTAAAAGCGCCTGCGTGTAAAAAGCGTCTGTGTGTAAAAGCGTCTGTGTGTAAAAACGTCTGTGTGTAAAAGAGCCTGTCTGTAAAAAGCGTGTCTCCATAGTAACAACAGAAGACTCTGCTCCTCTACGCTCTCGGGCCATCCGTCGTCTAGTTTATTTTTTTGGCTCATGCACAAAAGCATGCCGTTTAAAGTTTTGTTTCGTCTTGGTCCTTAGCCTTTGCCGCCACGCCAGACTGTGATTAATTAGATTTAATTAGTATAGCAGAAGGGGCTACAAGTTTCTGGGGAGACCGGGGGTGGAGTTCCCGATCTAGAATTGCAAATTGTGTATCGTTAAGTGCTGACTTGCTTTCTATTTTGGCCAAGCCAGCAAACCGACCCACCCCCACTTGAAGCAACTTTGCGTTTCAATTTCACTGGAGCTGAGTCCATGCAATCAATCACCTCATATCACCTCATCCAACATAAAACATTGAAGTGATGTCACATTCTGCCACACTGAGCATGCCCAGGGGCACAGATGCTGCTACCCTTGAGTCCTCCACTCTTCGGCGCGTTCGCTTTCTTCACAACCAGGCCCAATACGGCAGGGGGCTGAGCTTTCATCGGGGCACCCGGGACAACCTGGTGCATCATATCCTTTTGGAGGACGTGCTATTTCAAGGAAACGAGGCGGCGGAATCGGGAGGAGGCATCCAGGTGCGCGGAGGCTTCAGGCTCTCATTCTCCAACGTGACTTTCAGGGACAATCGCGCCATGCAGAATGGTGTGGCAATCAGCATTCGACTCATTGAAGCCTCACCTGCTGTCATTGAGATGAATGATACAATCATAGAGTCAAGCCACGCAGATAGTCATGGAGGTGCAATTCATTGCAGTGAGGTGTCTGGAGAGTCTGTGTCCTTGGATATGAAGCGAGTGAGATTCATGAGGAGCAGTGCATATGGAAATGGCGGTGCCATCTTCTACGGATGCCAATCCCTGAAGATCACGAACAGCTCATTCCAATCAAGCTCGGCCTTTGGAGGAAATGGAGGTGCCTTGCATCTTGGAAGGGAGTTGGAGTGCAGAGATGAAGACGGCATGAAAGAGGTGGTGTCCTTCAGAGATGTCCAGTTCTATGACAACACGGCTAAAATGGGTGCAGTTGCATTTTTCGATGCAGAGCTTCCTACCTGTGCCATTCCTTATCTGGAAGGCTCTCCCAATGTCTTTGTCGCATCCAAGCCTTCAGTCTGGTCATGGGAAGACTTCAACACTTCAGTCAGTGGGAATGCAGCTGTTCTTGGGAATCTGCAAGCTACGACTCCTGTAAACATAAAGCTATTCTGTGCAGGGACCAGTGCCTTGCTTCTAGAACCAAGCCCAGGTCCTATTTTGTGCGTCAAGCTTGTTTTGCAGAAACAAGCATAGGCACCAGTGATAACCATTGCATAGTATAGTGACGTATGAGCTTTTATACGTATGCAGTTTGCCGTATCCAGTGCTTCTATATTTTGCCATACTGCCACTGGCTCTTGAGTTCGAAATGTCAAACTATTCGTCAGAATGATCTGCAAGGTTCCCTACCACTTGCTAGTATTACCGTCGTCATGGCCATCGCCATTGCCATGGGACATGGCCACCACCACCACCACCACCATCATCATCATCATCATCATCAGAACCACCAGCGTCAACAGCGGCTATCACCAAAAAATGTTTTTTTTTTAAATGTTTTTTTTCTTTTGGCCTGCCTGTAGCCAAGGTGATTGCACTCCAACAGCTGGAGGGTTGGCAATACAAGGCTGGGTTGTACTGGCTTGTGCCGGTAGCTTGACTTTGAACATTTTCGAACCCATCAGACGAACCTGGTGTGTAATCTAATGAACCTAATGCAGTATTGGATTTTTTGACTTGAGTTTGGATTGGTTGGAAATCTTGGCCTAGCACAGGGATGATCCCTTTGGAGGAATCTGACCAAGTCAAGTAATCACCGCCACTAACAACTCGCTTGAGACAAAGCAAAAACCGCCTTAGCGTTTGCCACCAAACCATCTCAGACAACCAACCTCAGAGAACTTATGACAACTTGCAAGGCTTCCCTGGAATGGCTTTGACCATTGAAGCAGTGCTGCAGGACCCTTGGACCCATCCAGCAGTGGCAGCAACAAAATACTATTTTAGCTGGTACCTATTTCTGGACACCGGCAAGGGACAAAGTGGCAAAGTGATCCGCAAGTAAGCAACGCATCGCATTTTTGCAGGATGCTGATGTTCTCTAACCATACCTGAAAATCTGAATAGTTCGCTGTAAATCTTTCAGGACTTCTTTCAGCAGCTCTACATCGACGATACCCTCATCGTGGAGCTGTGGACAGCTACGCCCAACTGCTTACTGGAAGGCCCAGAGCTCTGAGATCCATTGGAGAGAACTGACCAGTTGGATCCGACTGGATCCAGTTGGGGGACACCAAAGTGGATGATCAACTCATTCAGCTGAGGGAATCAAGCGACCCATTTTGATGATTACAGTATCTTTCACCAAACGGTTTGGCGAATGGGTCAATATTGTCAGTATTTCAGGTGCCGTAGGACCATAGAATCTGGTCATGTTTGGTACTTGACGGGTGGAGAAACGACACATTCCGACAAATGTCATCAATGTCATCCCTTCTTTTGCCAACTGACTCACAAATCTCACGACTCACAGCAACTCACCTCGGACATCCGTCGGACCCATCTTTGAGTCGCCGCCAGGTGTGCAACAGCATCGGCTACAGCAAGGAGTCGCTGCTGTGCAGTCCCTCAAGGTACGCTCTGTTGCCATGGAGCCTTGGAATCCCGTGTGTGACATCGTCGTTCGGGCATTTGGGCTTCAAATGGTGGTGGTTCTTGGAGGCTTTCTTGACTACTTTCACTGAAGTTAAAGTAGTCACCATGCAACTGTAATTTTGGGATACCCACCCTCGGCCAGTACCCAGCTGGGAAAGATTTCAACTCTATAGACTCGGGAGATGGCTTTGGAGGATGACCTCTTCTAACAGTTTCCAACCCTTACCTTTCTGCGCCTCTTTTGCAAGGTACCCCTTTCGATTTACGCACTGCGATCAGTGCGGTTGGCCACGCTTCATGTCAGTCTTGGGGCCTCTCCATCAACCTGTCCGACTGGCTGGATCTCCGAAAACGTCACAGCAACTGCTCGAGAATGCAAAGCATGTCCAGCAGGTGGGCCGACAGGGGGGGAAGACTTCAAGTGATTCACGCTATAAAGAAATGTAAGCTGAGGGCCGACTTTAGTTGATGGCCCTGAGGTACTTTTGGAAGCCCTGGGTCAGATACTTGCCAGACATGTCGGATTGGTACCTTTACTGCCAAGGAGGGGCTAGGTCAATGCGATGTTTGCCCTATTGGGCATGGGTGCCCAGCTGGCACCAGCATTCCAGCCCCTTGTGCACCTGGATTCTTTCAAGACCAGCAGGGCATGGAAGATTGTTTCCGCTGTTCGTACGGTGAGTATGCACCAGACCACGCATCTGCACAGTGCATCAGCTGCAGCATGGGCCTTATTACACCTGAACGCGGATCTCTCTCAAGAGAGGCCTGCGTGTGTGCTGAGGGGAAATACATGGTGGCCGAAGTTGGATGCAAAGATTGTCTGAAAGGAATGGTGTGTCTCCAAGGCTTGGCGCCGCCAGAGCAGGAAGGAGGCTACTGGGCTGAAGACCTGGGTTCAGGTGAGTACTCAGTTCTGCAGTGCCGCACCCCCTTCGAATGTCCCAGAGGCACACCGGAGCTGTGTGCTCCCAATCGCCAAGGTCCTGCCTGCAACAATTGCCTTCCAAACCACTACCCTACAACTGCAGGAGCCTGTTCAGCCTGCGGCAGCTTTGACTGGCTACCATTCTATGCAGTTTTGGTTTGCACATGGGCTTTGGTATCTTTGCTCATAACTCGGGTCAATGCAGAATTGTCCAATTCAAATCTCAACAAGCTGACCATTGCAGCGGTTGCAAACCAGCTATGCTTCGTGATCCAGACTTTCTCAACAATCAGGCAACTGCATATTCGTTGGCCAGAACCTGTGAAATCTCTGGTGGACATCGCAAATCTGATCACAATGATAGATCTCGACTTCTTGAAAATATCATGTGTCAGTCAATATGACCACCCTGCCATCAAGTTGGCTGGGCAGCTGCTTGCATTTCCCGCGCTGGCGTTCGGAGTGTCTTCCATTTGGGTGCTCCATCGCGTGCTTCGTCGAACTGAAATCCCATATGATCACGTGTTCAACATCCTGGGACTGGTGCTGCTGCCCAACGCAAACATGGCAAGTATTTTCATTATTACATTGATATTGACGATGTCATTTGAAACTATTTGAAATACACGCGCGTGCACACACACACACACACCCAGATACTACATGATACTATAAATAAATAGATCTTATTATATATATATATATAATTATATAAATATTTATGTTTATTTTAGAGCTGACGCTCATCGTCGGCTCCGCCGGATTACTTGATTACTTGACCCTCGATGTCATCGCAGGGTGGGCTTGAAAGCTATTGAATGAGGACCTGCTGCTTCAGAAATATATTCCTTATGCTTTTTTGATCATGTTCATGGAATCATGGCACTGCGGAATTTTTCTTGGAGCAAGTGGAGAGGCTTGTTCCCGAAAGCTCCTGCAAAGGGTTTTTCCTAAAGAATTGCTGCCAATTTCACCTTTCCACTTCGTGTAAAACGCCGCCGTGTAAAGACTTCTCTGTGTAAAAGCTTCTGTGTGTAAAAGCTTCTGCGTGTAAAACTCCTCTGTGTAAAGGCTTTTCTGTGTGAGAGCTTTTGTGTGTCAAAGCTTCTGCGTGTGAAAGCTTCTCCGTGTAAAGATTTCTGTGTGTAGAAACTTCTGCGTGTAAACGCGCCTGTGTGTAAAAGCTTCTCTAGGTAAAGGCTTCTCTGTGTAAAAGCTTCTGTCTGAAAAAGCTTCTGGGTGTAAAAGCTTCTCTGTGTAAAGATTTCTCTGTGTAAAAACTTCTGTGTGTGAAAGCTTCTGTGTGGAAAAGCTCTGTGTAAAGACTTCTCTGTGTGAAAGTTGGTGTGTGTAAACGCGCCTGTGTGTTACAGCTCTTTGCAAAGACTTCTTTGTAACAGCGTCTGTGTGTAACAGCTTCTGTGTGTAAGCGCTCTTGTGTGTAAAAGCTCCTCTGTGTAAAGGCCTCTGTGTGTAAACGCTTCTGTGTGCAAACGCGTCTGTGTGTAAAAGCTCTCTGTGTAATCACTTCTCTGTGTAAAAGCTTCTGTGTGTAAAAGCTCCTCTGTGTAAAGGCTTCTCTCTGTGTTAAAGCTTCTGCGTGTAAAAGCTAGTCAGCTAGTCTGTATAAAGACGTCTCTGTGTAAAAGCCTCTCCGTAAAAGCTTCTGTGTCTAAGAGCCGCTCTGTGTAAAAACTTGTCTGTGTAAAAGCTCCTGTGTGTGTGTAAAAGCTTCTGTGTGTAAATGCGTCTGTGTAAAAGCTCCTCACCAGCAGCATGCATCATCATATTTTCTTGTGTGCTATCTTCTGGTCTCTTCCCTCCAGCTTTCTTTCGGGCCACACTGTCGTCTAGTTTCAGTCTGTAACGTCGTTTCTTGTTGAAGAATGCCAAGAACATGTGAATGAAACAGCGTCTGTGTGTAACAGCTTCTGTGTGTAAACGCCCTTGTGTGTAAAAGCTCCTGTGTAAAGGCTTCTTTGTGTAAACGCTTCTGTGTGCAAACGCGTCTGTGTGTGTAAAAGCTCTCTGTGTAATAATCACTTCTCTGCGTAAAAGCCTCTGTGTGTAAAAGCTCCTCTGTGTAAACGCGTTTATGTGCAAAATCTCCTTAGTGAAAAGTGTAAAGGCTTCTCCGTGTAAAAGCTTCTTTGCGTAAAAGCTCCTCTGTATAAAGACTTCTCTGTGTAAAAGCCTCTGTGTGTAAAAGCTTCTGTGTCCAAGAGCCGCTCTGTGTAAAGGCTACTCTGTGTGAAAGCCCCTGTGTGTGTAAAAGCTTCTGTGTGCAAGAGCTCCTCTGTGTAGACGCGTTTGTGTGCAAAATCTCCTTAGTGTAAAGACTTCTCTGTGTAAAAGCTTCTTCGCGTAAAAGCTCCTCTGTGTAAAGACTTCTCTCTGTGTAAAAGCTTCTGCTTGTACAAGCCAGTCTGTTTAAAGACTTCTCTGTGCAAAAGCCTCTGTGTGTGTAAAAGCTTCTGTGTCCAAGAGCCGCTCTGTGTAAAGGCTACTCTGTCTGTATAAAAGCCCCTGTGTGCGTAAAAGCTTCTGTGTGTAAATACGTCTGTGTAAAAGCCCCTCACCAGCAGCATTCATCAACATATTTTCTTGTGTGCTATCTTCTGGTCTCCTCCCTCCGGCTTTCTTTCGGGCCACACTGGCGTCCAGTTTCAATCTGTAATGTCGTTTCTTGTTGAAGAATGCCAAGAACATGTGAAAGCATCGCTCGTTCAAAAATTACTTTACTTCGAGTTATCCCCACCATGACATCTCTACGTTTTGTTGCTGGCAAATCTTCTGGCATTCTATCTGACATATCTTCTGGCATTTTATCTGCCATATCTTCTGGCATTCTATCTGGCATATCTTCTGGCATTCTACCTGGCATATCTTCTGCAATATGTTCTGGCATATCTTCTGGCACTCTATCTGGCATATCTTCTGGCATATCTTCTGACATTCTATCTGGCATTCTATCTGGCAAATCTTCTGGCGTTCTATCTGGCAAACATTCTGGCACTTTATCTGGCATACCTTCTGGCATACCTTCTGGCATTCTATCTGACGTTCTATCTGGCATACCTTCTGGCATTCTATCTGGCATATCTTCTTGCATTCTATCTGGCAAACATTCTGGCACTTTATTTGGCATATCTTCTGGCATTCTTTCTGACATTCTATTTGGCGGTCTATCTGGCATATCTTCTGGCATTCTATCTGGCCGTGGAGGTCCAGCGGTGCTCACTGAGCTCGGAGGGTCCCAGGTTGAGGTCCAGCGGTGTGCACTGAGCTCGGAGGGTCTGAGCTCGGACGGTCCCAGGTTGAGGTCCAGCGGTGCTCACTGAGCTCGGAAGGTCCCAGGTTGAGGTCCAGTGGTGCCCAGTGCGCTCAGACCCTTGCAGTCGAGGTCCAGCAGTGCCCACTGCGTGCGGAAGTTGGCGAAGAGCTTGGCGAAGAGTTGGCAAGGCGGAAGTGAACATAGGAGTGGATGCAAAGGTGGTGGAGGAGGTGGTGGAGAAGCTGGAGGAGAGGGAGGAGGAGAAGGAGGTGGAGGATGAGGAGGAGGAGGCGGAGGAGGAGAACAACTGTGATAAAATCTAACAACCCTCACCTGGCAGGTGTGGAATTGATCATAAACAGCGCACAAAGGGCTGTAATTTACAGCATTTTGCGCTGTCAGATGGCAAGAACCCGCGTAAATATGGATAAAACACTGTTATTTACAGGGTTTCGCTCACGTCACGATCTTCGATTTTTTTGAAAACGCGTAAATACCAGCGTTTTTTTTCCATTCATCAAGGCAAAAAAATCATTTCAAGAAGCGCAAAAAAGGCTGTAATTTACAGGGGTTTGGTTCCGCCAGGGGCAAAGAACCAACGTTTCAGCGTCCAAAAGTGGCCAAACCACCGCTATTCACAGTGTTTCGTGCCTTCCACGTTTTCTTGACGTTCCAATAACAATTGTGCAAATACTTTTTTGCGATCAACTTGCTAAAAATGCTGTAATTTACAGTGTTCTTTTTTTGCCTTGCTTACAAAAACACTGATATTTGCAGTGTTTTGTGCATCTCTGGTCTAAAAAATATTGGTATTTACAGCATTTTCTGCGTTTTTGCATTGTTCCCGCAAAAGACAAAAATGCGGTAATTTACAGCATTTTGTTGGTTTCGAAAAGCTAAACTCGTCCGAAAAATGTGTCAAACGGCGCTTTTTTCCGATTTTATATAGGTACCCTCAAAATGCGGGAGACGCTTATGGGCGACCCGGATTCGTCCAAAAAGCTTTCCCCCCAGCAGAGGATTTTTATGGATTTTTGGTGTTTTTCGGGGCCTGGGGTCGGAGGGTCGCCGGTGTGGGGCGCGCCTCACCATAGAGCTCTAGTCGCTCTGTGACGCTCGTGGCGCATTTGTCAGCGCACTCGTGTGGAGCCGGTGGTGGTGGTGGTGGTGGTGGTGGTGGTGCTGGTGGTGCTGGTAGTAGTAGTAGTAGTCGTCGTCGTCGTCGTAGTAGTAGTAGTAGTGGTAGTGGTAGTGGTAGTGGTAGTGGTAGTGGTAGTAGTAGTGGCAGTAGTAGTAGTAGTCGTAGTAGTAGTAGTCGTAGTAGTAGTAGTCGTAGTAGTAGTAGTAGTCGTAGTAGTAGTCGTAGTAGTAGTAGTCGTAGTCGTAGTCGTAGTAGTAGTAGTAGTCGTAGTAGTAGTAGTCGTAGTAGCAGTAGTAGTAGTAGTAGTCAGTAGTAGTAGTACTAGTAGTAGTAGTAGTAGTCGTCGTCGTCGTCGTCAGTAGTAGTAGCAGTAGTAGTAGTAGTAGTAGCAGTAGCAGGAGTAGTAGTAGCAGGAGTAGTAGTAGCAGTAGTAGTAGTAGTATTAGTAGTAGTAGTAGTAGTAGTAGTCAGTAGTAGTAGTAGTCAGCATCAGTAGTATCAGTAGTAGTAGTAGTAGTAGTAGTAGCAGTAGTCGTAGTAGTAGTCGTCGTAGTAGTAGTAGTAGGGGTAGTAGGAGTAGTAGGAGTAGTAGGAGTAGTAGGAGTAGTAGGAGTAGTAGGAGTAGTAGTGGTAGTAGTGGTAGTAGTGGTAGTGGTAGTGGCAGTGGCAGTGGCAGTGGTAGTGGTAGTGGTAGGTAGTGGTAGTGGTAGTGGTAGTGGTAGTGGTAGTGGTAGTGGTAGTGGTAGTGGTAGTAGTGGTAGTAGTGGTGGTAGTAGTAGTAGTAGTAATAGTAGTAGTAGTAGTAGTATCAGTATCAGTAGTAGTAGTAGTAGTAGTAGTAGCAGGAGTAGTAGTAGTAGCAGGAGTAGTAGTAGCAGGAGTAGTAGTAGCAGTAGTAGTAGTAGTATTAGTAGTAGTAGTAGTAGTAGTAATAATAGCAGCAGCAGCAGCAGCAGCAGGAGCAGCAGCAGCAGCAGCAGCAGCAGCAGCTGTTGTTGTTGTTGTTGTTGTGGTCGTCGTCGTCGTCGTTGTCGTCGTCGTCGTTGTTGTTGTTGTTGTTGTTGGTGGTCTTGTTGGTGTTGTTGGTGTTGTTGGTGTTGCTGTTGGAACAGAATCAGAAACAACCTGTAATCCTTGACGCGCTCCCCCTTGCATCAGCCGGGGGTGGCGGATATGTATCATTATATGTGTGTATATCTCTTATATAATATATATGTACACAAACACATGTACTCTGTGGATGGGATTTGAACAAAAGAAGTTCCTGCGGGTTGGCAAGCGTTAGTAGCATGCTTGGGTTATCAAGCTTTAAGGCCCCCTCAAACCCTTCCGTGAGTCCCAAAACCTGTTCAAAAAATGTTTTTTAAGAACTATATAGTTTTTGTTTGGGTTAAAAATATAGCCAGGAAAAACATGTGCAAACATAGATGTTTGATGATACGGCACCATGCAGACCACCCGGCTAGAAACCACCACGAACATTGATTTTCGAGAGGTTCGGACGAATTGGCTTGGCCACATACGATGTTAAATTCACATTGAAAACTATACTCAATCATTTTACGACCACTATATAACATGGATATTGTGGCAAAGGTGGAAAACCCCCAAAAGGCCCACTAACATGGATCAAAAAATGTGAAAGTATGCAAACTCCAGCTTGCATAGGACTTTGGAACCTGTCTAGAGTCATGTTAGTGACATATTCTATGCTTTGAAAAAACGCAAAAACCCACAAGCGTGGTTGTGCACACCATGAGTGGATCTATGTTAGGAGATTTCTTCTCCAATATTCAAGCTGCATTTTTCCCCTTAACGTGGCTGTGAGGCTGGGCAGCAGTTGTGTCAGATTGCAGGGTATTGTAAGTTACATCTTCATATGTTTGAAGCAGTGTATACATCACGTCACGTCAGGTCACGTCACGCCATGTCATGCCACATTTACATTACATTACATAAATAGTTTATGATTACATATCATGCATAGCGTACATACCATGCATAAATAATATGCACATTTCAAATATATATGCCTGCAATTCTTGCGAGCACAAGCGTGTTTGGTTGAAATCAAAATGTGTTTGCTGTTTGCAATGACGTGGCACAGTATATGCATTTACATACGCATATACCATGTGCATTTACATAAGAGTATTCGACAGGATTTGTATGCATATGCATGTGCACTATGGATATGCATGACGCATGCATACAGTCATACTTCCATAGGTCCATACATTCTTCCTTGTTTCCTTCGGTCCTTCCTTCGGTCTTTCCTTCGGTCCTTCCTTCGGTCCTTCCTTCGGTCCTTCCTTCGGTCCTTCCTTCGGTCCTTCCTTCGGTCCTTCCTTCGGTCCTTCCTTCGGTCCTTCCTTCGGTCCTTCCTTCGGTCCTTCCTTCGGTCCTTCCTTCGGTCCTTCCCTTCCATCCATCCATCCATCCATCCATCCATCATGCATCCATCCATACATGATCATACATGCCGTACACCAAAGTGTAACTGGCAGTTTTTGCTGCCTCCCAGCTGGGGCAAATGGTGCGTTCGCTACACTTAGAGCAGATGATTTTTAAGCAAAAGCTTTGCCCCAGGTTTGCCTTCTCATTGAGTTTGTCGTTGACTGCCTTGATGCCTTTCCAGTGTTTGCCCAATCCAAATGGCACAAGTTCGATGGCCAACAATCCGGGGGCGATTTGTTACCAGTCGGCAGATCATTGGGTTCTGATTGCAATTGGGGCTGTGGGAGTTGTGCTGTACCCAGTGAGCATTGTCTCTTGGGCTGCTTGGACCACGTATCAATACCCAATCAGGGCTGCAACTGGGAACGGTTTGACGCTGCTCTACCGCTATCGCTTCTTCTTCCAACGCTTCAAGCAGAATTGCTTCTCGGACACGGTTTGGATTTTGTTGAAACTGTGCAGGGCGACGGGCTTTGTCATCTGAAGAAGTCATGTGGAGTCATGTTGCAGGCTCTGTTGATGAGTCACATCATGATTGATGTGTAATTCTTTATTGTGCTCTGACTGAAGAATCGGATGGCGTTGCACGAATTTTGATTCCACTCATGGGTCTGTTTTTGGGTTTGATGGGGGTTCGCAGACCTTCAATGGCTCCGAGCCGAGGTTATGGTTTCGGCCTCTTTGTTTTGGTCCGCAACTTTTTCCTGGCACTGGCACCCATCGTTTTGGTACCATCACCTGCATTGCAGATCCCCACCGTGTGCCTTTTCCTGATTGTCAGCTTGATGGTGCAGGTCCGTTTCTGGCCATGGAGGAGAGCGCAGTGGTGTTTCCATACTTGTTTCTAAGTAATGAATTTATTCCTAAAACACTTTTTGTGTACACAAAATGTATGCATATGTAATGTATGTATGACATTGAATATCTAAGAGATATATTGTCGAAGGAAGTTTAGAAGTCAAACTTCCGACAATATGGACAGATGAAAAGCAGAGCAGGGAAGAGGCAGAGAGAAGAGAAAGATTAGAAGAAAGAAGAGGAATTAAGAAGAAAGAAGATGCAGATGCGTGAAAAGGTAGGATAGTCGCGAAACACTGTATTTTTCCAATGATTTGGGGCTCCGGAAGGTCGAAAAGTAGGCTCACTAAAGCGGCGAGTGCGGAGCTATCTGGCCAGATGAGAGATGAAAAATTGCACGCCGTTGTGGCGCAAAGCACATTTCCAAGTCAAAATGCACAAAACACACCAGGTTCGGACCAGTTTTGGCAGTTGAGATGTTGAAAAAGTGCACGCCGTTGTGGCGCGAAGCACATTTCCAAGTCAAAATGTGCAAAGCACTAGGGGTGCGGACCACTTTTGGCAGTTGAGATGTCGAAAAGGTGCACGCCTTTGTGGCGCGAAGCACATTTTGAAGTCAAAATGTACAAAACACCTCAGTG